AAACTCAATTGCAATCAAAGCGTATGTTTGTGTGCAAAGCACATGAAATTGGGCAATCCTTAGTTACCATTTCCCACAAGCAGCACACGCACACAGGGGCCCATCCGCTTGCAATCGGTCTTCCAAGGAGCTCTTCGAAGCAGTCTCTTACAATATTATTGATTTAGGAAACCCCATTGCTTATACCCCTGACACATCGTTATGCGTTGCACATTTCTGCCTTTAATTAGGAGCCGAATCGTGTTTACAAATGTTTCTGAATATACTTACATGCGCGTATGCATGTTACTTCAAAGGCTCTTAATTAACTAAATGTCTGAGTTGAGCATATTTATATGAATGCAAACATGGCAGCATTATTGAGCGTTTTCGAAATAGTTGCATATTTTAAGATCGGCCTTTGGGTATACAGGGTATACATGTATCGATATATATCGATCAATATGGGTTGCCCAACTATGTTATACGTTAGTTGTTTATTCAAGGTTTCGATAACCTTGACAGCTATTTCTCAAAGAAGTTTTGGAAAATATAAATAATAAACTCAAAGCTTCATATGCATTAAAATACTGTACTTATATATATGCAATATATTTATTTGTCACATCACATAAATTCAACTGCTCAACTTTAAGCTAAACTTTATGCAAGTAATCCCAATCATGTGAGCATTCGTTGTCAACATTTTGCCAGACTTTGTAAAGATTTTTGCTTTGGGTTTTATGTTTGGCAGACTACCTTGAAAATAGTTGCCAGCTAAAATCTTTATGCATAAGTGTGGTTCTCGCTGTGGTTATCAGCTTTTTCTCTCTCTCTCTCTCTCTCGCTCTCAGTTTGTTTGCTTAATGTAAAGTTTTCAATATGCAACGGCTTTTCGCTATCTCCCCCTCTCTCTCTCTCTTTCTCAGTCTCTCTGTTGTTTTGCTGTGGCCAGGTGTTTTATAGAGAAAAATATTTTCATACATAAAAGTTTTACGACAACAGCGACAACAACAACAACAAAAACAATAACAACAACATCAATAGTTACATTGTGTACTTGGGAGCATTTTGTGACTTATGTGCGAGTTTCTTAAAGTAATAGTATACGCAATGTTGCAAAGTTTGGCTGCATTAAATGGGCAAAGTTAATTTCCACAAAAGGACATGATGTTAAGTATTTTGCAACACTGGCGAGCGCTTAATTTCATAGCTATTCATTTTACTAAGTGAATATGTGCATGATTTGCTAAACACAGAGAAATGCAAAGACTAAAAAAGGATCAATGTGACATTAAGCTGTGCTATGATCCAGCACTTAAATTCCTTTCAGTTCATCGACAGAAACGCTTTTCAACACTTAAATCAAATCAATTTAAAGAATGTTAAGAATAGAATAGAACAAGTGTATCTAGCGAAATATCTCTAATAGAGCTTATTATTTTTAAATGTATAAAACATTTTTTAACACTACCGCCGACAAGTTAGGTATAAGTAAATGCATGGCTATAGGGCGAATTATAGAAAACTCATGGAGGAAGAGAGAGAAGAGAGAGAGACAGAGCAGACTGCTAGAAAAGAAAGAACCATGTACTGTGAATGAAAAGTAGACAGAGCGACTAGCTAAGCTGTTCATTTGAACCGCGCTTTCCAACACTATATGCTCAGTTTTTATCGGAATGAAAATCACTCAAAGAGAAGTAAAAACAGGAGGGGAAAGAGCAAGGGATATGCAAATCGACAGAGCAATATATAGACAAGATGCTTGATGCATTCGCTGTATTTTACAACACTATACAAAAGCTATTTAATTTAATGGCTATTCATTTAACAAATTTCGAACCAAAAAGATGACAGTTCGCTTGTTCCCCACTTCTCTATCAACTCTTCTCCTCGCTTTCCCCTCTTCACAGTCCGCGCCAGCACACGCCCCTTTGCCCCAGCATGTATTTTTCTGGCTAAGTCGCCTCTCGCTTGTTAACTGAAACTAAACAGTACAAACACGACTGTCAACAACTGTAACGTTTACCGCATGTTACCGCTGCGCAACGTCCTGTGCTGCATGACAGGACATGTTGTGGCTTCTCGGGCTACCACACACATACGCGCGCACACACAAACACACACACACACATACGCACAGTCAGCCTGAAAGAGGGGGATGCTCATGCTTGGTTTCGTATGTTTGTTCCATGTGAGTGATAATGCATGTGTCCATATGGAACATTCCTGGCTGGGCTTGTCGGTTGGCAGGCTCGCTACCCCCTTGCCCGATCCCACCTTTTCCCCCTCGCCCAGCTTGTAACAACCTTGTTTAATTGTTGAAATGCATTTTGGATACGCTACTGTTGGGCCTGCCAGCTGCTTTCGCAGGCTTTCGGGCCCATTGAATTGGCCTATAACCAACTCGAGTTAACAGAAATTTAGGACAGCTCGTGCAAAAAGGATATTTCGAAGGCTCAAGAATATGGCGTTGTTTTCATCGAAGGACTCAAACTTGAGGTTTTTCAATTAAACAAATTGCCTAAAGTTACTTCAAATGTTTTCATGTTTTCATGTTTTTGCGTCTAAGTGGCAGCTCTAGAGCGTGCAAAGAGATGGCAACTCAAATTATTAATGAAATATGCCATGAGTGAGAAAGATGCCATTGTTGAGCTGGTGCAGCAGCATGATGATGGTATTAATAAAACTAATTATATAGTAATAAAATAATAATATTGATAGTAATGCAAATAATATAACAATAATAATAATTATAATAATTACCATAACAATTATAACAGCAATTATTATAGAGTAATACAGAGATGAGCTCTGCAAGAACTTTACAGATTTAATTAATATTTATACCATCCTATCATTTAAATTGTTTCTAATCTATTTCTGGACATTCCGCAAATACCTTTTGGACCAAAAATATCCAAGAGGTAACTCAATATTTTATATGTAATACGCTATGATTACATCTCGCCAGTTGCTAGCCGACCGCCCATTGAATTCATAAATTAGACTTTATATGCATTTCGAAAAATGTTTTCTTTCCTTTTCTGTTTGTCAGTTCTGCCGCATTGAGCACGCAATTTATGAGCGGCCAAATTTCATTTGGCACTCAAATAATTTAAAAAACAACCAGAAGAATTACAAAAAATATAAGTCAAATATGTTTTGGCAAATTTCTGGACGATTATCAAAAACGTGCGCCATATGAGCATGTGGGGCACTTATTTTTTTTTGTCCAGGTTTTTTTTTTTTTTCTTTTGCGGAGCCGCATCAATAAATTCAATAATTTATGGCCGAAAATTTGTTGCAGTTTGTGTGCGATAACAGCTGCTAACAATTATTTAAATAAAACGCCTCAATTTAAAGTGGAAAATAAATGAAAAAAAATTTAAATAATTGTCTGATTGCAACAAAAAAGTCTGACAAACGGTGGCAGACGGCACAGCAGCCCGGTCTGCCCCCATCCACAACGGGCAAGGCAAACTGTATTATCACCTCAAATATGTGTAATAAACTCTCCAGGGGTTCTGGCACAAAGCACAAGGCACACATACACATGACATACATGACACAAAAAAAGGAGAACATTAAAAAACGCAGACGGTTATGTGGCATATGGCAGCTGGGTGGCTACCCCAAGCTACCCCAAGCCCGAGCCCGAGGACCCCCACACCAGCCCCAACCAGATTCTAACAAAAGGCAACGCCAATGAAGTTATCAGCATGCGCCAGACAGAGCTTGGGGAGCAGCCAAAAGCCAAGTAAACATTGAGACAAATAAATAAATTACATTTAGTCGGCCGCAGGCAAGGGAATAAGGGCCAGAAAGAGTTCTGTACCTTAGACTCCCTAGCGTTTAACTGGAACTTGTTTAAAAACCTATTTAATATAAACATGAATTCTTTGTAATGCCTTTAAGTTCGTTGTTGACGTCAACAGATTGCAAAGAAATCTTTGCAAAGAAATTTGTGTTAAATAAAGAATTCGGTTTTATATTTGATAATTTTTTTAAGAAGCAAAAAAGTTTTAAAATTAAAGTTTGTCAATAAATTTTGTTAAATATAAACAAATAAAAATATGCAGATAGAAGAAGTCGACTTCCGTATTTTATGCTGGGTATATTTCATCTCTCTATCTTCTATCTAAAATATACATATGTCTATAAAATATTTAAACTAAAAATAAAAATTAGGAAATGTTACATAATTTACTAAGTTTTTTAAACACTTTTTTATTTTAACTTAACTTAATTTTGGTTATTGTCTTTTTTATATTAAATATTATTTTTATTATAAAGTTTAATATACCACTTTTTCAATATTTCAGATATTATTAAATTCGAAAACTAAATTAAAAATGTATTAAACATATTCCAAAAGCAGTTTTACTCAGTTTATTTTATTTTAATACATTTTTAGTAAATTTTTTTAACTAATTTTTTTTTTAACCTTGCTTTTAACAAGTTTAAATTCCTTAGTGAAATTAACAAAATTTTAAAGTTTAAATTAATGATTTATTTAAGGAACCCCAATTGCAAAAATTGTTTGCTAATTCTCAGAATAGTTCTTTAAAATATATATCTTAAATACTATGTTTAAATATATATTTATGAAAATGTAAAAATAAACACATTTAATTATTATTACAAAAACAAAAATTATAAAAATTTAAAAAATATATAAGAAACCAATAAATTAGCTTATGCAAATTCATAAATATCAATTGAAGCGTTATATATTTTCATTCTATAAATATATTCTTAAAAATAATATTATTTTACATTAGTTAAAATATGTAATGCTGGTCATGCTCATTTAATTTACTATTTGGTTGGCTTAAGGTCTGGGGTTTAGTTTATTTTAAATCAAAAATAAAAAAAAATTTTGTTGCCATATCTTAATGGTAATTGTTTTTTTATTTTCTTCATTTAATAAACTTAACCCCTCACCACGCTATTTTCGAATTTTTCGAGTAAAAAATAAAAAGGCTATGCGATTATTCACATTGAAGCTGGCTGTGCGTATTCAGCTCCGGAACATAGCCTGGAATGCCCAGTTGACACTTGCAAAGTCAGAATCTGGGGAAATCTAGAATAAAATACTTACACAAGCATGGCCAAGCCGACATCAATTAAGGATGCGCTGGCACGCTGGGAGGACCGCAACAAACAGGAGGCGATCACCGCCCAGGAGATATGCCTGCAATTCCAGTATCCGCCGATCGAGAAAATGGATCCCACACTGAGCACACTTGTGGAGTGTCAGAAGCTGAGCCTGTCCTCAAACATGATTGAGAAGATCACCGGCATTTCGGGCATGAAAAATTTGCGTGTGCTCAGCCTGGCGCGCAACTATCTGAAGACTCTAAATGGCATCGAGTCGCTGGCCGAGAACTTGGAGGAGCTATGGGTTAGCTATAACAATATAGAGAAAATCAAACCGATCGAGGCTATGAAAGCGCTCAAGGTGTTCTATATATCGCACAATCTGGTCAAGGATTGGGTAGAGTTTGGGCGCATAGGCGTGCCACCGAATCTGGGTGATATAACATTCGTTGGGAATCCATTGATCGAGAATATGGATCCGGCTGCCTTTACCGCCGAGGCCATACGCCGTTTGCCCAATCTCAAGAAACTGGATGGAGAGCCACTCATACGTTAAGTTGTTGTTTTCGTTGTTTGTGCAAAAATAAAAGGTGCAACCACAAATCGTCATGCATATGACCAACATCCAACCACCCAGCCACGCCCACAATACAACAATGAGCTCTACTGGCAGGTAAGCTATTAGGCACTTGTCTGCTGTAGCCTGGCATTGATTTCTGCCCACTGTTGGTGTGTGTGTGTGTGTGTGTGTGTGTTGAACATTTTCTTTTCAATTCTATTTGCTATTTTTTTTGCATTTGCTGAACATTGGCAATAATGGAGAGTGAGAGAACGGGTGAGCTGGGGGGGGGGTGAATTTTCCAATTTTCATTGAGTTTCTGCTGATGAGCACCATTGTTTTGTTGTGCGGCGCCCCTCTCCCCAGCCCGAGCAGCATTGCAGGTGAAAGGTTTTTCCCTTTGTTTTCCACTCACCAGGTTATTGTTGTTGTGCCAAGTTCCGCCTGCCTAAGCCCCGCTTCCAACTTTGTACAAGACACAAGTACAGATCCAATTTGTGCCTTGCATTGTTTGCATATTTTTAACCTAGTCCAATCTAATGAGCACAAATTTTTGCATACACAAAGAAGGCGTGGCATGTTAACAAAAAAATGTTTGTGCTTGTACATTGGATATGTCTACCTGTCATTCTCTGGTATTTTGCTTACAGGTGAAGTAAGATGGGGTGACCCTTGGGCTGGTTCGATTTCATAGTCGAGCTAAGCTCTTAAAAAATCCCAAATATACTTTGAAAGCGGGCATTATAATTTTATCACGCACTGTGTAACACTCTGGAGTGTCTAGCTGTTGGCTCCGTGGAACATGCATCCGTATTCCGACAGGGAAGAACAACAGAAGAAACTTGTCAGAAAGGCTTTTCTGAAATACTTTCTTATTAACCTTTTGTTATTGCTTTAATTTCTTTTGTTAACGTTGCCCTTATACATATTTGTAGCTCTAAATACACTATTCTTCAGTATGATTTCCTATTCCCCAAATCTTACCTTCTCAAAGTTCGAGGAATCAAAAAAGTTGTGCGCACTTTTTGTTTATCTTCTGCAGACTTATTTGCCATAAATATTTTCCAGACTGATCTTATTCTTTTTACTTCTCTTTATCTACATTTCCTAGCCAAAATCAATTGTCTCTTTTTATGGCAGATAAAATACAGCTATGCTTAAATTAAAATTAATATTAGTCAAAGAACACCAGCAAAATTGATGAAAACGCATAAAGCAAACATTAAATTTTGGTGTCTGCCAATTTCTGTTATATCTCGTTTTCTTTTTTTTTCTCCCCGACTGTTTTTATGTTTTTATTAAACGTTTTTATCTCCTGTACAGATTCACATAGCCATATATATAAGTATTTTGGTTTCGGTTTGTTTGCCAAGTTGTCTGGCCTTTACCAACCAACACGCTGCTCCCTCCCTTTGGCCGACTGTGTTTCTGATTATTTATGCGCACAAAACAAATAAAATGTTGCCTTATTGGCCATAGGCAGACAGTCTGAACAATTCGAAAACACAGACCAAAACCAATGGAGCTATTGTTTTTTTTTTTTATTCTATTTATTATATAGCTGCCTTCAATTGTTTTCACTTCTTGTATGTCTGTCTAATATATGAAGTTTATGTATTGGGGTTTAATGCAAATTATAAGTGAGATCACATATTATATTATACTCGGGTCGACGCTGATTAAATGCTCTTGCAAAAGAGGAAATATGAAAAATATTGACAAACTTATTTTCAATTTGTATCTATAAGGTTAATCTTTGACAATTGATGGAATGATTCCTTTTCTCAGTTTTGTTTTGTCTCATTATGCACTGGAATCGATCCATACCTGATCTGATCTCTATCAAGTATGAAGTAAGGTATATTGTTACAATTTTTTGTAGTTTATATGGCATTTCTATTGTGGGGTATTGAGGACATGACTTTATACTGATGCCTATGCCATCATAAATATGATATAGCCATCTGTATCGCCTGGCTTCGTTTTATTTACTATCAAAAGAAGAAATATGAATTTGATAAACATGGCTTTAATGTAAGATAAGTTCTGTAAGATCATTCGATCGAGTCAGCTCGTCATCATCAACAAAAATGTAAATTATATAATGAAAATGAATTTCAAATATATTTGGACACATCTTATGTCAAAAATCCTAACACTGTTTGCTTACTTACACTTATTAGATGGCCAGACAGAAAAATATAGATATGAGAAAAGTATTTGAGTTGATAATTGTTTACACAATACAATAAGCTTTTCTCTTTATTTTCAGCACATACAAATTTATTTAATTCCATGAATTAAGCTCAAAATTAATGTAAAAGTTAATATGTATCATGTTCCTTTTTGCTTTTGTAAAAAACTTGCCTAATTATTTTGGAATTTTATAAATATTGCCTCGTGTTTTCGGCAATAGGTAAAAAAAGTTAACTGGCTTGTGTGAGCACAATTCAAAAGTGTCTAGTTTATGTAAAAATAAAATTCTTTTGTAATTTTTAGTAAATCCTTCTTTTTCTGCATTTGTTCCACCTTTAAGGCCGGCTTGTTCGCTGCCAGCTCTTATCATAGTTGCGGCATAAATCACGCGTTTAGTTGCCAAGTGGTTTTTAGAGCCCGCTTTAGCCGCTTTTGCGTTTAACTGTCGTTTGGGCCACTTTCCTGTGGATTGTGCCGCCCTCCAGCCCAGAGATTCAGCTCCGGCAACTGCTGGCCAGCTGGCCAGCCAAGTGGCCATAGCCAACTGGTCAACGGCGCACCGAACAAGCAACCAACATATTTAGAATATATGGCAACACTTTGGCAACACCAACACAACCCTTGACCGCAGCCTGTGCAGACATGGACGTAAAAACAAAAAAAAAAAAATATATAAAAAAAAAAACGAAAAAAACAAAAAATACTTGCAAAAGAACCGAACACAAACACAGACGATTGTGCAACCGCAGCGCAAAAACCACTTCAACTTGCACTGGGTGTACTCTCGGCAAGTGTTGTATGTGTTTGCCGTTGTCACGGCCAGAGAGTTGCCAGAGTTGCCAGCAACAATAACAACAACATATATACAAGAGTTTTCACCGAGGCATTAAAACTTGAAGCATACATTTTTTATAAGCCTTTACATAGAATTTGGCATTTGGCATTTTAGATTTGTGCAATAATATTTTTGCAGATGCTTCTGGTAGGAGGTGTAGCTGCTAGGGTTGGCACAGCAGCGGATTAGGTGTTATCGATAAGTGTTCGCTTTAAGTCTGATTTAACTTGTTTTTAGCCAGCTCAGAGGAAAATAAAAATCGAGCAAAACATGTTACCATTTGGTGCCATCGGTTATCGATAATTCTCAAATAGTATACACATCCCTAGCTTACCCTTATAATATCATAACAGGTTCTTAATAGGGAAAAGAAATAGTTTGGTAGAAATATATTTTAAGTAGTTATCGATGGTTGGCTATTGTTCGATATATTATGAAATCGATATATTTTTCAAAGATTTTTTCATAGAATCTTAGAGAATTTCGGTATACTTTTTAAATACTAATAATAAAAACAGAAAGTTTATAAGAGAAATAAACATAAACATTTTTTTTTATTTTCGATATTTTTCTAGTTCTTAAATTTCTTTATTTTACAGAGCATTTGCAATTCGATGCGCAACACTGCCAATACCTTCGGGTTGCTTCTGAGCAAAAAAGAAATCGAAAAGTTTAGGACATATCACTTGCAAGTTTTTGGCAGTAGCCGTATCTTTAAGATACTTTAAGCTATAGCTACACGCGACACAAGAAGCACACATCTTGTGCCTGTCAGAGGGGCATAAATCTATTCAAAGACTTTACGAAAAATCCAGACAAATGCCAGAGATTACAAAAAGATTTTGGCCGCATGATGCATGGGCCTCAACTGAGCGCGCATGTGTGTCTCTCTGTCTGTTACGGTTTGCTGTCTCAGTCTGTCCGACTGTCTAGCTGTCTGTCTGACTGTTTGGCCCACACAAATGTAACCAACAACACACACACACACACACACACACACACACACGCAAAACAATTAAAGCCTGATTAATAGTTGCAGGCGGGCCCAAAACTCACATTTCTTGCTACCTTTCGCCAAGTTTTGCCCAAAACCAACCCCAGCCCCAACTTCAGCCCCCCTGGCGACCGCTCCCTCTATTCCTAGCTGAATTATGACTTTTGCTGGCTTCGTTTGGGCTGTTTAGCATACTTTTGGGCGCAGCTATTGTGGCCTCTTTGTGTGCGTGTGCTTGGTATGTGTGTGTGTGTGTTGGCATTTACGCCCGCGCATAAGTCAAATTGTTGTTAATTTCACAATGTTAACCCCTTAAAGCGCGCAACGCAGCAGAGACATTACATAAATTTATTTGCCAACCGGCTTTCCCCCAACGGTTTTCATAATATAAATCATTAAATTTTAATGCTTCCCAGGAGATCAATGAACATGACCGCAAATTATACTGAAGCGTGCTTTCAGGCGCATAAAAGATTTCTCTTCTCTTTTTCGCATATATTTTTTTCCCGCATTCGTTTTTTTCTTCTTCATATTTTTGCACTCGCTTTTTTTTTTTAAATATATATATATATATTTTTAAAATGCATTTATGTGGAGAATACACATATGCAAAGTGTTTGGTTTGAAGTTGCGTTTTGTGAGTGTTGGTAGGTTGGTGGGCGGGTTCAGGCTTTGAGGGGGGGGGGGGGGGGCTGGTTTAATGCAGCTGCATGCCATAAAGTTGTCCGTGTCTGTGCGAGTGTGTGTGTGTGTTTTTGTGTTTTGGTTGCTCGTCTGCAACTGTTGAAAATAAAAGCACAACAGCTCTTTAAATGCAATTGTAAATTCTGCGCATTTCAAGTTGAAATATTTGATACTTTGAAAAGGTGCTAAAAGATAAAATTCAAATTTATAAATAATACTAATTGATAATATTAAAATATTTAAAAAACATATACATATATAAATAAATTGAACGTGATTGTAGTTTATTCTATTTCAGTCAAAATTAACTTAATTAATTATAACTGATTTAATTATATATTAAAA